ACTCTTACCCACCTGAACACATCTGTTATATACATGTCTATTATTTATATCAACTCACTAGTGGCTACAATTCTATGGGATATGATACAAATATTCTGAATATAAATTTATATAATATGGAAAAACTAATCATACAAATAATACACAATTTGGTCTAATAAAACAATAATATCTACTCTACTTTATAATTTAAAGTTCACAATAAAAGCAGCAAATATGCTGTCAAAGAATCTAAGAATTGGCGAATATTTTGTTTGTTTTTATAATGATTTCATACTTTATTAAATGGAGTCAATATTGTTGTCATTTCATGTTTTTCACTTCAACGGACACTTTTAAAGGAAACACAGTTTTATGAAAATGACCACAAAATGTAATTCCTTTGAAGCGAAACCCATATAAACATTGCTTTTATATGACACCAAATCATCACATGCGATGAAACGACAAGAATTTGATTCATGAAATTCTGTGTCAATATCTGATGTTTATTTGTTATTTTCCAAGTTTCATATTTTAAAATCAATACATTATATGTTACATTTTAAGGTTTACCATATTTTCTTTACTTTTAAATCAATCTTTTTCTTTAAAAATAGACAAATTTTATTTAAATTTCATATCAGTCAAAATCAATCAAATTAATCCATGAGTAAAATATTTTTGCTCAAAAACATATTTCTATTTAAAAAACCATAATTTTAATCATATTCTCATTTGAGACTTTAAGACTAATTTTGGTCAGTATATCATAAATTCTTAACAAAAGTCAATATTCTCAGTGAAGGATATCTTTATTTAAATCATAAAACTAATGAACCTTTACTTGAAATTTTGCCAAATTTTTAGAATTTTTTAGAGACTTATTAAGATTACTTATATGAAGTCAATACATTTTTAATTAACGTCAAGTGTTATTATATAAGATTCTACTGTATTCATATTTGCCAATTATCAATCTAGTAACCAACTGTTAGTTTAATAGATTTACATGTAATAGTAATTTGTTTAACATGGAAAACTCATTTGGAGTATTTATATACACTTGAAATATATTTTAACAATTTAAAAATTAAAATAAAATTATGTCAAATCTTTTTCATATAATTTTAGATCAAAACCTTATCTATTTACTAAAATTATTTCAATAAATTTAATTAAAGAAACATGTATATTCTTAAAGTAATTTTTATTATTTGTATAAATGATATGATTCAATTAAACTAATAATAACAGATAATACAGAAAATGAATACTATCACTAATAGTATATTAAATTAGATTAAGTTTTAAGTTTAAATAAATTATTGTTAAGTTTATTAATATTTAAGATAAAATGTTAAAACAATTAAAATGTAATTATGAATACGATATACTGTATATAAGATCAAATATACAATATCAAATCTCAGCAAAACTCAAACATTATATAACGTTGTGTTGAACTCAAGAGATTCTTGAGGATTACGTAATACAACGATAAACACTAGAAATGATTTACATTAAGAGACAGAATATCTTTAACATTACTCTGAGTCCGTTCGCAACCATTTCTACACTCCATAAATGGTTGCCTTAATTTTGGCACTCATTTCGCTTTACACTACACTCTCATTAATTTCTATTAATATACGGCGAAACAAAACTGCTATTAAATTAGAAATAAAAACAAGACGATTTAATAACAGAATAACAACTTTTAAAATAGTTCACAATAAAAAACATCAATTTAACACCATAATAACCTATTAAATAATAGCTAATTTTTAATAATTAGCGTTAATAACAAAAATAGTTTGTACTTCAGGACCACACGGCGCATATCATATCAATTATCTCATCATTTTTCGTCTATTTTTTTGACTTATATTTACGTAAATATGTTGTCTATAGAAGTGATTTCTGGTAGGAGTGAACCAAAACCACATTTGGCAGTCTTTGCCGGTGTTTGTCATCTCAACCGCTGTTTAGCCCAATACTAAACTCGCACTCATTTAATACATAAGTAGACAATCACGCGAAGAGCTAATCACAAGAACTCATTTTCATCGCTCACTTAAGTCACGAACACTCTTAGCGTTCACTTCTTCTTCATTCTCCAGTCAGTCGTGTATTAGATCTCTGTCTGTAAGGTATGGCTCATTACGGCATTCAGGCGGCCGTCACCGCCAAGACTCTGTCCAAACGCTCGCCACAAGTGGAGAAGGCTGTCGTCGACTGGGTTTACGAGACAATCGGAGAACCGGTTCCTGAGGGCAGCTTCGAGGACGTGCTTCGCGATGGAGTAGCTCTTTGTAAACTCATCAATAAACTCAAACCCGGAGCCGTTGATAAGGTAATGAATATTGTGTCGATATTCTGTCGATATTCTGGTCAATGAAAACACTAATACCTAACCCATGAACTGGATGTGCCCCAGATCGCGACCGGTGGCAGTGGTTACGTGCTGATGGAGAACATCAACAAGTTCATCAAGGCCGCCCAAGACTATGGCGTAGCCCACGACCAGCTCTTCCGGACCGTCGATTTATACGAGAAGAAGAACATCCCTGAAGTGACGGGTGGTATCATAGCTGTGGCCCGAATCGTGTCCGGAAAGGCTGACTACACCGGCCCTCAACTCGACAAATGGGTGTTCGCTAACAACTAATTCAATATAATTATTATAATTATAATAATAATGTTTTACTCAATTATACTTTGATTACAAACATTCATTGAAATCGTTATACTTTTTGGCATCACTTTTGGAAGTAAACTATGTTTTGTTTTATTTATTTTTATTAATATCTCAAAAGCAATACGACTATAATTTTAAAAAACTATTTATATCTGTTATTTGAAAATACAATTCTATCTTATATTTAAGATCTAAATGCTTTGAATAATAAGTTTAAACATATTTATTGTTAAATAAATGATCTTTGAAAACCAATCTATACACACACTTGTTGTGAATTTTACAGTAAATCAATCTTTTAAATGAATAAAGTGTTTAAAACTTTAATTAAATGTCTTTCAATTATTAATAATAATTCAAATGTTGCAAAGAATATAAAATATAACAAATGATAATAATTTATTCAAAATTCATAAATATAATTTATTATTTACATTTTGATAAATATTTAAATGTTTTACTACATGGTTCTTAGTTTAAAACCTTTTAAAATGTGAAATAGTCATAATCAAATAATAACAATTTTAACAAATATCTTTTAATTTTAGTAATATAATATAACACAATAATAACATAATATTCCTTTTATCAGAGGTATAGACATAGAGTATCATAAGTTCTGGTTATATTAAGAAATGATAAAAGTTATAATATGTAAAAATATAAGTTAACATAATCTCTAAACAAAGAAGTCATACATTCATATGAATACAAACTACGAAAATTGACTCCAAGTCTAAATTTAGAGCGAATAGACATCTAATGGAGTAATGGATGATATAATAAATTCTTCTTTTTTGTAAAACCTCTGCACTTCTCTTCAGTTTATTTTTATTCAATTTTAGGAATAGTTGGAAATGAATACAAGCTAAACATTTCCAATGAATGGGTATACCATATTTATTTATGGTATATCGTACACTATGAATAAAATCTTATTAAATTAAAGTTTAATGAATTAAATACTTACAATTTGAAATGATAAAAATAAATAAATACAACACTTTCTGACTTTATGTGTTACATTTAGCGATGTGCAATTACTCGTAATATATTATGTCAAATTAAAATACAGTAACTAGAAAGAATCAATATTAAATTCAACATGTAACCCACGACTTAATAATTCCTGGATTCATAATATGAAAATAATATAATATTAATTGTATAATATGAATTGCTGATTTTTGTATTCATTTGTTTATTCATTTTCTGATTATAACACATGTTTTTGCCTCTTATTTTAAATCAAATTAATTAAGTAAATTCAATTAAAATCAATGTATATAAAACACATATACAAATTATATTTGGTGCGGTTGCACATTGATATATTAAATAATAAAAATAATATAACAAAATTATTGACGTTTTTAACAGTAAATTACAAAATAGTTATCTAATAACTTCTTAATAATAAGTATAAGTTTATTAAAATATGACATTGTAACTTGTTTAATAAAAGTATGAATGAGAACATGGATTCAGGTATAATATGTCACATAAAACATTGAAGTCATTTATTAAATGTATCGTAAATAATATTGTACAAAGTATTTGCAACTCATTTAACAATTACATTTAAGTTATCAATTCTTATTAAATATATCTAAGAACATATTGAATTTACGTTTGGGTTTTTTTTATAATAAATACATTTTTTATATAAAATTAATATAATCTAATTAACACAATCTAAATCATAATTTGATGACTGATAAGATTGAATCGTAACAGAGTGACTGATAAGTAGAGAGAGAGAGAGAGAGAGCTAAATTAATAAATTAGTTGAAAATTAATGAATTAAATATATATGAAATTAATAATTAATGAATACAGGATTACATTTGTTTTAATATTTAAAAATATAAATGTGTTTAAAATTTTGACTTTTTTGATGGATGACATTTTAAGAAACCAAAAGCGGCAATTAAGTGAATTGAGACAATAGTGTTATAAGTTGTAATAATAAACGTAAAGTTGTAAATATAGACTATTTTTTGTTGTTGAATTACATTTGATGACAAATGAAAGTCTTTAGAAAAAATTTTAACCAAAAAGTTGACAATCGAGTCAATCATATCCTATAATGACTAAACAGAAGGATTAAAAAAATTATTATTTAATGTATTAAATAAGTGAATTGAAATCAAACCTAAACTTTCTATGTTTGAAAGAATTAGGAATTCGTATTTTGGGCTTCAAATCAAGGGTTCGCGGAAATGAATGGCTTTTGAGTGTATTATTAATAGTTAGTACTTAATGTTTTATATTTTTACTTTTTAATATACAAATCACAAATGAAACCTTGATTTTCTTTGGGACCAAAATCGCTTTTCCATCAAATGCTCGTAACATTCAGGGGAATCTAATAATCTTCACGAATAAATTGAATTTAAATATTGTATAATTAAACAGTAAAAATATTAACTTATTCTATAGATAAAAATTATTAAAATACAATTTAATTTAAAGTAATTAAAATTTGATTAAATAATATTTATAATAACTTATAAACAAAATCTATATATAAATTATTTAGATTGAATAAATATGTTTTATTGTACAGTATATTGCACTAAATATTGTAAACACTCCCTGAATAAGTGTCTATATATTTATTAATTTAATTTATATTACATGTAATTAAATTGATTTATAATAGGGTTTATGTTATATTTACCTGCAATTCGATGATATAATAGATTCTGTTGTCTTAAACAGTATGAATGTCATAAAAATAGTCAATATTAGTGACAATAATGTGATTCTGTTATATAACGCCATTCTTTACATTTGGTCTGAAATGATAGAAATATTCACCAAATGGTTAATCTTAAACAAAAATATATTATTTAATAAGTAGTCATTACATTTCGCTTGAGCAAAACTATTTATTAATTATTAACATAATATTATGTAAATTATTAATCAAATCTATCGATTTCTGTATAACTTAATGTAATCTCTCTGTAATATTACTCTTAAAGAATTAAAACTGGAAATTTAAAATATTTTATAACAATTCTCAAGAGAATTAAGTGATTTTGAATTATTGTCCGGATTTGTCGCATATGTTTAAATAAAATATAAGCAAAATGCATGGCATTTAATATGGTTTGGCATCTCATGATTTGTGAAGGCGTCTGATATTTATATAGTAAGCAAACACTGAGTGTGTCTTTAGTTTGAAGATTCAATCAAATCAATAGCAAATCTACAGCCGATACCATTCATTACTATTCATCTGTTTCTCCATTTAATTAAATCTAATCAAACACTTAATGAAAGTAAAGAAAGTTGTGTTTATACACGAAATTAATTATTTCGGATTAACTCCAACACAAATGCTTTAATTAATTAATCAATTTGTTAGTCAACATCCACTCCATTCACTAATTTTCTGATATTTTTAAATATTTTATACAAATCTAATAAATCGCTATTAGATTCATGTCTTATACTATAATTCATTAATAATGCTTATTTTTAAAAGTACATAAATTAGAATATTAAAATTAATCATATAATGGAAAATTATGAGAATTCAAATATTTATTAATTACTTATATAAAAGAAAAAATATTAATATTTACAAAAAAATATAACTCTATAATCGACACATTTGCGTATTTACATACAATTTTGATATTTTTAGACATTTTAGTAATTTTCAAATTAGTGCTTCAAATGTAGGCTTTGTTTGCATTCAAGTCATTGTTTTTTATGCATTGTATGTCTCTGTTGACAGAAATGTAATTAAAAGCTAATCAATAAATGTGTAAAAAATGTGTATCCCTTAATTAAATTTTTACTCAAAACGTAGAAAATAGTAATTT